TAGGCGCCCCCCCGGTCCCCCCCAGGGGAATCGGTAGCGGTGGCCAGTAGCGAGAGTTCGGCAGCAATGCCGAGCTGCTTGGTCCCCCGCGTGTTGCTCGTGCTGCCCACTGCTACGGGGGCCCCAGCCAGGAGCAGCTCGAGGCAGGGTCACCTTGCAGCTACTACGCATCTCAGGGCAATCGGGGTCAGGAAGGGGAACGTCCTTTCGGGCGCAAGCCAGGAACTTTGTTCTCCACCACCCACCTACCCAGCAGGTTGACTCCTGCCCCGTCTGGCATCTGGGTTCGTGGGGAACGGTAGGGAGGGAGGCAGAGCGTGGTGCTGGAGCGAGCACGGTGTAGGGTTAGGATCCCTAGAGACACCCAGGTCCCTGGGGATCCCTGGCACCTGGCTTCCCTTCCTGCTTGGGCCACCGCCTGCCAGTGTGACCTTGGGTGAGTCACTCTGCCTCCTCCTGTGTCACTGGGGCAGGGTGCGGGTCCCCCCGCCCCGCCACCGCGGGGTTTCGCCCTCCTTTCATGCCATCGGTAACAAGGTCCTTTTTGTTCCTTAGGGCCGAGAATTACTGGTGGCGGGGTCAGAATAAGCGGACCCTAAAAGTGGGCCAGTTCCCCCGAAACACGGTGACCTCGGTGGCAGGGCTGTCGGCCCACGACATCAGCCAGCCGCTTAAAAACAGCTTCATCCACACAGGCCATGGAGACACCAACCCGCAGCAGTGCTGGGGGTTTCCCGATAAAATTGATGAGTAAGAAACTTTCTGTCTTCTCTGCATCCCCTGCCTCCCCCCTGCCTTCCCCGCCGGGCGCGGGAGCGAGCCGTGGCTTGGCCTTCCCTCCTTGGAACGGCTCTTCCTCCTTGTCTTGCTCGGGCGAGTCGCTCTCTGCAGGGTCCTGCGGCTTTGACTAACTCCCTCGCCTCTTCTCACTAACGGGGCTGGGTGCTGCATGGTTGGGGGGGGGGGGGGGGCCGGGGGGCTGGACTCGCGTGGGGCGGTCGCGCCGTCCCCAGGGAGATCAGGGGATGGCGTTGGGCGAGCTTTGGGCTGGGCTGCACGGAGAGAGCATCTTCTCCTGGCCCCAGAGCCCCTTTTCGCTTCTCCGCCCTCCCCCTTCCCTGGGGTAGATGTACGGCATGAAGCGCTGCCCCAGAGGTGGCCGCGTTTCAGCCCAAAACGGAGTACCCCCAGCTTGTTCCCGTCCCAGGCCCTGATCCAGCACTCTGGAGGAGTACTAGGGCTCCTAAACTGACTCTTTACGTCATGTGCATGGAGAGGAGCCAGGCTGCAGCCTGGCCTCGTGCTTTTAATTGCATGTGTCCTTTTAAAAAGCGAAAGAGAAAAAAATCCAGCAGAAAACCTCTCTTCTCCCCCGTGCTCCAGCAAAAGCGACCACCGTTTGGTCTGCAACGGGAGTGAGAGCTGGGAAAGAGGAGGACTGGGGAATCCGTGGAGGGTTTCTATGCTCGAGAGCACCCTATGGGGCTGGGCATCATGTCCACTTGGCCGGACCTAGAGCCTAACCTGGCGCTTGCTCGTGGTGTCCATCATGGGGGCTGAGAGCGGCCACCACAGCCCTGCGCCCCAGGGTGCAGCCGAGCTGAGCGGGCCACGGGCAGGGGCACGTTGGCTCAGTGTAGGGGGCACAGCGGGTCTCTGCCAGCGTTGGGTTTGTTGTAGGAGGGCAGTTTTGGAGGTGAGGGAATGCAGTTTCAAAGCCTGGAAAGACCCTGCTGGGTAGAGCCAGCACCTCCACCTGGCTCAGAGGAACCGTTGGGACCATGGGGGATCCCAGCCCCAGGGTGTCCCCCCAGCTCTGCCAATGCCCTCAGTCCCAGCCCGGACGCCGATAGCTCTCCCCAGCGTGGTCTCCCCCCAGCACCTCGTGCCACGGGCTGTTCCCCGCCCCGGGGTGGCTGTGTCGGTGACCC